TGATTCTGTGGCCGTGGCACCAAGTGCCTACTACTTGTTTTATAGTTTATACCCTACCATTCTGGTGTCACAGCCTACTAGTTCAACAGGGTTTGGTTTTATAGCTAGGCAGCCAGGTTAGGTGGCGATAATGGTTGCGGTTGCTGTTGCCATGATAAGAGCAATGCTAGCATATACTTGTTGCCTGGACTTGGGGCTTAGGGTTTAAGGGTTAGGGTTTAGGGTACTGTCATTGGTAAATGGATGCTGTCGTCCATACGAGCGAAGAGGAAAGGAAGCATGTGTCTTTGCATGGGGGTCAGACATCGCGTGAGGGTTGGACCTCTTCATGGATCAGGGGGCCAAGTAGGGTTATAAGCAGGGTGGTTATCTCTATCAATAAATGCGCATGGTATCAAGATGCGTGTATCCTTCCGTGCTAGTTTGTCAAGATCTTGAAACCTGTGTGGAACCCCATTATATAAAACCAATAGTTTAGAACCGAGAAACCTCTCTAAACCTTGGTCCTGTGATCCTTCAAGCACAAGAGATCCAGGGTGAACTGAGGGTTTGATCTGGAAGAAGGCCGTTCAAAGTGCGTCGGGAGACTGTATGAAGCGTGATGTCACACCCTAAGTCCTAGACCCCTAAGCCCCTTAACCCTACACACTGGCCTTAAATCCAAAACCCTGCAACCTGGACAAACTCGTGACCACATCTCGCACGTGAACCTGACCTTACTCTTCCTTGTGGCTGCACGAGACTTGTGAGTAGGGTTGTGAATAAGGTAACGAAAGTCAGAAGTGCAGGGAGCTCATAGCCCTACTTACCCAAGATCACGGGCCCCTAAGCCCTCAATGGCTCTGGGTTTGACCCTAAACCCCAAAGCCCAAACCCAGAACGCTGAACCCTAAGACCTAAAAGCCAAAAGCCCTAGGGTCAGTGCATCGGATGACTGTGGCGGGTTTCTGGCTCGAAAGAAGTCGCGATTTTGTCGTAGAAGCCTAGAAAGGCTGACTAGGATATTTCCGTGATGGCTTTCTCGGAGGAGCTGCGGCAGGCGACCAGCAACACCCTGACCCTAAATCCCGAACTCTAAATTCCAAAGCCAACGCCCGTGAACCCTGAGCCCTCTATCCTAAACCCTAAGTCGGAACACCCAAAGTGAGACTTTTTCGGCCCTAAAGCCCTACGGCCCTAAGGCCCTAGAGTCCCACACCCGAAAAGAACCAAAAGCCCTAAGCCCGGATGCGGCAGGCGGCCGGTGAACAATGGGACCGGGTGATTAATCACCGCTGGACCAAGGAGCTCGCCTCCGGGACCTTGGACTTGAAAGTCATGAGGCGCTGCTGGGCTTTTTCTCTTTAAAGGAATATATATACAAATGTATATATATATATATGTATATATATATATATATATGTATATATATAGGGTTCCCTCTGCTATAAGGGTACTTTGCGAAGCGTACTATAAGGGAACGACGAGTCATTGTTTCATGGTTTAGGCTTTAGGCGCGACTGGGCCTTTTGGTTAGTTAAGGACAAGGAATACTGGAAAACCGTAGCCCAAAGGACCTACCTCTGTAGGGTTCCTTATTCAACACCGAACCCCTACCACGGAAGGATTTTTTTACAAAGAGCTACAGCAAGGGACCGAACAAATGAAAAGGTAGGTCTTCTGGGCTACAGGTATGCCTTAACAAAAAGCCCAATACCGCCGAAACCCTAGACCCCTGTACACAAAACCTGAACCCGAAGCCAGAAACACCAACATTAAATCCCAAAGCCCAGTAACGCCTAAGCCCTTAAGCCCCAAACCCTTAAACCCCTACACCCTTAAACCCTTAAGCCCTAAACCCTTAAAGGGTACTAAAAGGGTTACTACACGGGTTGCTGGAAAGGTTACTATAAGGGTTTAATTTGGGGTTGAAGGCTAGGCGCTTCTGGGCTTTTTCTAGAGGAGTTTAGGGTTTAGACTCTGCAGCTCTTTAGAGTTTCACAAGATTCTGGAAGGCGCTTGGTGAGGGTTTCTATAAGGTTTTAGGGTTTAGGTTTTTAGTCTTAGTTGCCGTAGTAGAATTTAGAGGAAATTGCTCAGGCTTGCTTGTTTCTGGTAGCTTGAGTTAAGTTCCTCAAGACTCAAGAAGCACCCAGGCTACCTCATCCAGGATCACCGATTCTTGGATGCTTTCGTCGTACTGCTCTCGAGCATGATTGCGCATGCAAAGTCCCTGGAGGACCGGATTCCCGGATGCCAGTGTCTCGGCTCTTGTTCAGGAGATTAAAGAAGTTTTTATCATCAAGTGTAAAGCCCCTGCAGCCTACTACCTGTCTCCATGCCCCAGTGAGGCTACTGAAAAGTAGAACCCAGGTTTTTGGCTCTCATCACAGGGAAGGAGAACACCTATTTCGAGCGTTGCTTCCAGGAGCTCCCACGATGTACAGAGGCGGATCGCTCGAAGATCCCCGATGCAGCCTGCACCAGAGGCTTTGACCAGCTCATGCGGGATGCAGCAAAGAGCGGAAGCCTTGGGGAAATGCTGTCAGTCCTCATTGTCTGTGAGTGGTCCTACTTGTCCTGGTCCAAGATCGTGGACAAGGACGCCACCCGCGAGAACTTCGTCCTTTTCGAGTGGATTGATCTCCACACGTCCCTTGAGGACCGGGTGTCCCAGAAGAGATTTTCACATAGGCCATGCCAGATAGGTAGTCACCGAAGTAATGCGCGTCTCTATCTCACTGAGACAGACGCAGAAGCCCAAAACCACGAATCGCAATTCCCAGCTGCGCTGCGCTACGACTCCCAGGCCTACCTAAACCCTCCACCCTGGCGGCCTTGCTCCGGGAACCATATCAAATCCTGTATAGCAGCTGACGGAGACTTAAAAATAACTTTTTGAAACCCAGAGGTGCCAAGTCACAAGTATTTGGAGGGAGCAGCCCCAACTCGCTCCACATCGTCCCAAACTCCTAAACCCCAAGCCCCAATTCAGCAACCCTACCAGCACCCCTGAATAAGATCCGATAGCCGTTCTGAAGCCCTTAAGGTAGTCCTGAACCCCAAAACCCTTGTGGTAACCTCCTGTGCGACCTTTGTAGTAGCCCTTAGACTTAGAGTAACCCCTTTTCAAGTTCCCCAGGACGTCGTCGCCTACTTGCGAAAGCTCCTCGACGAGGAGGGCCAGCGCCTGGATGCGGAGGGCCGGGAGCGCTGCAAGGCGCCGGCGTGGGGCAAAACAAACACGATCGTGTTTTTCGTTCCTCATGTATTAGTATATACACCTCCTGATCTAGTCTTCGTTAGCGCCGTAAAGTTAATTTATCCATTTTGTTTTTGGGAGTTGTTTGGGGTTTCACGCTGTCTTGCTGGTTTGATAGAGGGTCCCAAAGGATTTTTATAGAGGTTTAGGGTTTCAGAGAGATGCACCAAGTGCACTCCTCAGGGGATTAGTGACTACTGAACAAGACGAGGCCCTATCTATTTTCCCTTAAACGAACAACCCTGATAAGGCGCGGTTCCTCCAAGCGGTGCAGCTGGAGGAAGACTTTTTTGAAAATGCTTATGCTCTCGAGGAGGAGGACAAATAGGCTCCGTGCATCGGACAAGATAGGAGCCTGATTCAGAAACCTTGGGTCTCTTTATTCGGGTTCTTGTTCATATGGAGCCCACTATTTTGGGGGATCTCTAGGACCAGAAAGTCAGGTAATCAGGTTCCTAGATGCGCTGCTACGATTTTGGGGGGATCCTTAGGCCCCCCCCCCCCTCCCAGAGCGCTGATCCATTCAGGGCCTGGCCTTGGGTAAGCTCTGGGCCTCTCTTGATCTTGGGGGTAGTTCTCAAATTTAGGGTCCCTTTTTAGGTCCCCAATGTAGTACGGCACCCTTGTAAAAAGGACCCTACAAGGGACCCTAGTTTGAAGAACTGCCCAGATGCCCTGTATGAGCTCCTCTCATCAGCAACAAGGGAGCGGCTCTGTATGAGGTGCGCTGACTGTATGACTTGGTTCCCTAGATGTTGATAATCCTTGCACTGCAAGGCCTAGGTAAACCTACAGAATCTGAGAGGGGCTTATATGGCACAGCGGCGGTGCCACTTTGGAGGCATTCCCGATTAGCCAGTGCAGTCGCTCCCTCTGAGTGGGGACAGCCAGTTTTCCAGGCCAGCCCTGTGATTGGTTCTATCCCTCTCCTTCCGGGTTTATGGACTTTACAGCAAGGATGTGATTGTGCTCTCATCTATTCTTTTTCTATCTCCAGCCCACAAGTTTCGGTTACAAAGGCGAGTGGAACTGAACGCATGGCTGTTCCCTTGCCCGACCTTCCTGCGGAAAACAGCGGAGGATCGCTTCGGTGATCATGTCGCGGGCTGCGATGTTGGCAAGTGCACTTCAGCTTTGGAACAGTAGCATGGGTTACAGTTGCAACTCTGCGGCTGCTGCTGCCACGGCCGCTGCTGCTGAGCAGTAGTATTATCATACGAACTTTATTGCGATCATTATTGGTAGTAGCGGTAGCAGCAATGGTTGGTAGTCGTAGCCCGAGTCGTGGTAGTCGTCCTCGTCCTGGTGGTTGTGGTCGTGGTCGTCGGCGTGGGCGTCGGTGTCGACGTGATCGTTCGTGCTTGATATCGGCGGGTTTTGGAGATGGTTTTGCTTACGAGTTGTAGATAGGGTTGCTGGAGAATTATTGCGTGGTGTATGTAGGGTTCAGGTTTTGGAGGCTTTTGCCGCTGCCTCTCTGTTCACCAGTGATTCACCAGGTCATAGTGGGGAGACGAGCTGTGCCATACATGTGCGCATCCGCCTGCCACCGTGCTCTCAGATTTTGCGCGTGCACACATAACGGTTCGGCAAGGCTCCTTCTATGGCCCGACTGTCGCATGAGATGTGGTTGGGACTGTTAGGACATTGTCTTGCTCAAAGACGAAGGAGATACAGGCTAGCTTGCGATAAGAGGTCCTCATCTTCTACGGTAAACCTTCTTTAGTTTTCTGCAGGCAATTGTGGCCCCCGCTCAGCCATGGCGAGCGGCCTGGAAAGGTCCACTGCCCTGGAATATGCCTCACTGCTGCGCACCCCCAAGCTTGTGCTCAGCATGTTTGATGTCAATCCGCCCAACCCGCAGCAGCTTTTTCAAGACTGGAGCGTGTTGCACTGTGTCTTTCGCTTGTTCTGCGGCCTTTCCATGCTCCTCGCCCTTGCGCTGGCACAGATAAGTGGTGGGGACATTGGTGCGGCTTTTGGTTCCACCATAGCCGCTCTTGGGTGGTCTGTCTTTGTGTTCTTCGTGAGTCAAGTACCGTGGCACTGCGTCGTGAAGCGCTCGGGCTGGCCAGCGTACAGGTTTTGGGCCTTTATCTATTTCGTCTTCTCTGTCGTAACCCTGGGGGCCTGGTGCCACCTTCTGGAAAGAGGGAGCAGCGACTTCATGGAGGAGGCCCGGGTTCCGCCCGAACTCCGACATCGACGTCGTGCTTACCCAGGCTTGACTTTGGGTCCGTTCCTGTTCGGCCTTGACAACGCTTTCATGTTTATAGCCTGCGTTCGAGCTTCGCAGCAGGCCAGTGCCCGTGAAAGGCTGGGGGCCCTGGGAGCAGCGGCGCCGCTACTGTTGGACTCGTGAAGACAAAACTTCCGCTGCTGCTGCCACTAGCAGGATCGTCACTATCATGATGGTTGGTTGCAGTCGCGATCGCAGTAGCGGTAGCCCTAGTAATAGCAGTTGTAGTGGTCGTCGCCATCCTCGGGCTCGTCGTCGTCGTCGTCGTCGCCTTCGTCGTCGTCGTTGCTGTCGCGGTGCCAGCAATGGTGCTATTGCTGGTGCTCGTCCTAACGTGCTGGTGCTAGCGCCGATGGTAGTGGTGGTGGTAGTAGTAGTAGTAGTAGTAGTAGTAGGAGGAGGAGGAGGAGGAGGAGTAGTAGTAGTAGTAGTAACAGGAGTAGGCGTAGGAGTAGTAGTAGTAGTAGT